CCTCGGCCCCACCCCCGCCACATGAATTTCGTTATGTGCACCGATATGAAGGTGATGCGTCACACATCATCCCCATATTGGTGCACATAACAAAATTCATTTCGCACATGGGTGGGAAAAATCCCCCCTCCACCACTTTCTCTGAGAGCCACCCCCCATGGAGGTCTTCCCCAATGGGGCTCACGCTCTTCACCGCTGAGCGTCCCCAAGACATACATACTGAGACTCTCACACACACACATGCTGGGGGGGGGGCTCCTCGATGCAACAGGGGGAGGAATATTCGCTGGAGGGGTGGGAACAGGCAGGGGGATGGCCAGTGTGGCAGGGCTCAATATGGGCGTGTTCTTGTGGAGGTCCTTAGACAAATATGTGCGGAGGGTCTCATGGGGTTTCCCCGGTGGGGGTGGGGGCCCCCAGTGTGTGTGTGGGGTCTACTGGGATTCCCCAGCAGGGGAGGGGAGACCCTAAGTGTGTACAGGGGGAGGGTCTCCTGGGGTTCCCCAGCAAGGAAGGAGGAACCCCCAGTGTGGGTGTCTCCTGGGGTTTCCCTGGTGGGGGTGGGAGCCCCACCCATGGGAACCCATGTTTCCGGGGGGGGGGGGTGCACCCCACTGGGGGCCCCTGATGAAAACCCCACTATGCGACAAATCAGACATCCCTGCAGGCAGCGCCAGCTGTGCAAGTGTCTGCAAAGGGCAGAAACCTGGGTTCTCCCCACTTCTGGCTGTGCCCAGAAAGATACCAGGGTCCATTCCCATCCGCTTGTGTCCCAGTCTGGAGCTCCAGTCCACTCTTCCAGAGGGGGCAGGTCAATACCCTTGGCTCCCTCTGCTCCATCGTGAGCTGATGGGGGATCCTGGCTGTGCTCCAGGGACATACCCGGTGAGGCTCAGCCTATGTCCTGTTAGGAACGTGTGCCCCCTCCCTGGCATGTTTCTGTGCAGCGCCCTTCACCACGGGCCTGATCCTGCTGGGTCTCGCCCCATGAGGGAGGGCAGTCAGAGACCCAGCACCAGGCTGAGCTGGGACACAGCCTTAGCTCGTCCTGTTGTGTGAGTGGGGCCTGGGCAGGGCTGAGTGCCTGGGGTCTGCTCTCAATATGGCACTTCCCTCAATCTGCTCCCTGAGAGCCAGTGTCTTGACCCCAGCCAGAGTATCATGGACCTCCAGTGAAAAGGACTTAGTAGGAGTCTCCCAGGTCTGTCTCCTTCCCGGGGTGGGCGGGGGCCAGGTCAGGATTGTCCCACCCACTTCTGTAATGCCCCTTTCTGATCCAGAGATCTGCCCCCTATGGAGAGTGCGGTGGGCGTGGGGCTCCTCCGTGGGGGGAGGGATCTGGGGTTATCCTCTGAACTGACCAGTCTCTCCCTGCTTCCCTCCTGCCTCCCAGATATTAACGAACTGAATTTGCCGAAAACATGCGAAATAGATTTCTCCGACCAGGACGACCTCCTCAACTTCAAGCTAGTTATCTGCCCTGATGAGGTGAGGGGAGACGGGCAGGGAGGGTGTCCGGCACGTGGGTGGGGAGCAGGGAGTCCTGCATGCCGGGACTTGACTTTCTCTTCCTGCTCCTGGGGAAGCCCCAGCTGCTGCTCAGCTGATGGGCTCAGCCTGTGCCCAGACTCCGGTTGCTGCTCCCTGCTGGGCGGGCGCTGGCCCAGGCCCAGGGGGCCCAGCTGGTGCTGCAGCAGGCCTGGGGGGGGGAGGGGGGGGATGCAGCTGGAAGGCACCTCCGTGTGCATGAGGTGATGCGGTGCTGGAGTCCGAGCCAGTACGCTGGGGAGTGAGATGGGGGCAGGGGGCTGCAAAAGATTCATGGCTCTGCACATGCCCCTGCTGACCCAGCCCCAGATCCAGCCCTGCTGGTGCCCCTCGATCCTGACTATTCCCCCCGCTATCCCAGCTCGCCCACCGCAACCCTGCCGGTGCCCCATAATCCTGACTATTCCCCCCCCCCCCCCCCCCCCCCCCCCCCCGCTATCCCAGCTTGCCCACCACAGCCCTGCCGATGCCCCTCAATCTTGACTATCCCCCCCCTGCTACCCCAGCTTGCCCACCACAGTGCCCCTCAATCCCACCCTGGATCAGGCCCCACAATGCCAGCTGAGCCGAATGGCACGTGGCGGGAGTGTGATCAGAGCCCCTAGCTGCTGCGTCTCTGGTCCCCTGCCCTTGGATCCATGGGGCGGAGCTGAGCCCAGGCCCCTTGGGGTGCTGGGGACCCCCCATGAGGATCCCTCCCTCGCTGAAGGTCTTTTCTCTTTCAGGGTTTCTATAAAGGGGGGAAGTTTGTCTTCAGTTTTAAGGTAAGTCCCTTCCCTGCCCCTGGGGTGAAGCTTGATTTTCACAGGAGCCTTGCCGGGAAGGGGGGGGGGTCGGGGGGCTCTTGGGGCTTCCCTGTGTTGGACTCTCCTTGCGCTGTGTCTGAGCCAAGGAGGGAGTGTCGACCCCACAAATCTGGTGTCCCCTCTCCTGGGAGGGAGGAAGGTGCTGTGTCTGCTCAGGAAGCTGGGGACACGCCCACAGTCCCCCAGAGCTGGCAAGAGGACCCAGGAGTCCGGGCCGCTTGTGCTTTCCTGCTGCGGAGGGAGTAGCACTAGGGGTGGGGTGGATTCCAGAGCTCCTGTGAGTCGGCGGGATCATGGAGTCTGGGCCCAGCTGCTCTGCCGTGGGGGGGGCCTTGGGAATGACTCTACCATTTGTCTGTCTCTGTCTGTCTGCAGGTAGGCCAAGGCTACCCTCATGACCCTCCCAAGGTGAAGTGTGAGACCATGGTGTACCACCCCAACATAGACCTAGAGGGCAACGTCTGCCTAAATATCCTCAGGTAGGGAGCGCACCCGGCCGCCCCACTCTATCACTGCTACCCCCAGGCCGGTCTGGGGGATTGCCCCACCCACGCAGATCGGGGAGGGGGGCGGCCCCTCTCCAGCACCAGGATCCTTTCCTGCCCCACCTACACAGATCGAGGGGGGAGGGGGAGATATGGGGTGTGACCTGGTGCCTTGAATGGACCTCACTGAGAATGCACACTCAGAGCAGACTGCAAGAAACAGGGCAGGCACACGCCAAAAACTGGTGGTTTTAACTACAGTTAGATTCACCAAACCAGTAGCAAATGAGCTGCAATACCACACCGGTTCATAAGAAGCCAAACACAGCCCTCTTAGAGGCGTTCCAGCCATTGGTTCCCATCCCAACAAACTGGTCTAATATAGTGAGAGGTTACTGAAAACCCAATTCACCCCATGTGAGGTTCCACCAATCCCAAAGGATAAGATGCTTACCACTAGGTCAAAATGCATCTCAGATCTTACCCGGATATCACTCTGTCAGCCAATCCTTAGTAAACTAACTAAGAATTTATTAATAAAAAGAATAGTTATAAATGGTTAAAAGATCATATACATACAAATGATTGCCAAGTCCTTACATCAGGCTTGTAGCAGTGATGGAATAGACGGCTGGTGGAATAAATGTTGGAATAAAGTCTCTCTGGTAACTTCCAAAAGATTGGACGGTCCTCAGTCCATTGTTCAAAATGCTCCTCTTAGAACAGGGGTGGGCAAACTTTTTGGCCCGAGGGCCACATCGGGTTGTGAAACTGTATGGAGGGCTGGGTAGGGAAGGCTGTGCCCCCCCAAACAGCCTGGCCTCCCCCCCCTTCCCCCTCCCCCCCCCTGCCCCCCCCCACCCCCCCCCCTCCCCCCCCCCCCCCCCCCCCCCGAACCTCTGCCCCGTCCAACCGCCCCCTGTACCCTGACTGCCCCCTGGGACTTCCTGTCCCTTATCCAACCCCTCCCCGCCCCCTTACCATGCCACTCAGAGCGGCAGGAGCTTGCAGCCCTGCTGCCTGGCCGCAGCCAGCCACGCAGGAGCGCGGGGCCAGAGTGCTGGCAGCGTGGTGTGGTGAGGTGAGGCTGTGGGGGAGGGAGGACAGCGGGGGAGGGGCTGGAGGCTAGGCTCCCCGGCCAGGAGCTTAAGGGCTGGGCAGGACGATCCCACGGAGCAGATGTGGCCCGCGGGCTGTAGTTTACCCACCTCTGTCTTAGAGGAAAGAGACAAACTGGAGATGTCTCAGGTGCCTTTTATATCCTCTGCCATGTGTATGGAAAGTTACTGTCCCAAACAAAGCCTACAGCCTGTGTGTATGGACAAAGATGGAGTCTGAGGTCACACGTCCACATCACATGCTCTTACATGTTTTACTGAATCACAGGGGTGGCCAGTGGCTCCTTGCGCTCTGAGGTGTCCTCCGGAAGAGAGTTGATTCTTCTGAGTAGTCCATTCACAATGGGCTGGGGAGACTGAATGTTAACTACCTTGTGGGGATTACCCCAAGGACAAACACGTGTGAGATACAGATACCTAGCCAATCTCACACCTTCAGATGCTGTGGTGATCCATGGATTTAACCAGGATAATTGTATTTGACTTTTCCATTGACACCTCACATGATAGACTTTGTATAAGATTTGTTGCAATTGTATAACAGTGGTAGCAACTGCTACAAATGGTCATCTTCAGTCATGCAGCATCACAGGGGGAATCCCCTGTGGCCCACCCCCATGGAGCCTGGGGGGAGGGATATGGGGGATTCCCCTCCAGCAGCACTGCCCTTCTCCTTACATACAGGTCTTGGGGCAACCCCTCCTCCCATCATCTCCATGATCCCCATCCCCCTAGTCAGATTCTGATGTGATCCCCCCCCCCAAACCCCCCCCCCCCCCCCCCCCCCCCGTCTCCTGTCTGGCTCTCCTCCCCAGTCAGAACCTGGGATGATCCCCTGCCACCCCAGTGTGGTGTCGCTCCTCTTGTGGGCTTGGCCGCAGGGTCCTCACTCACAACTCTTTTCTGCCCTGCAGAGAGGACTGGAAACCTGTACTAACAATAAACTCTATAATTTATGGTCTGCAGTACCTCTTCTTGGTGAGTATGGGGGGGGGGGTTCACCTGCACTGTTGGGGGGGATGGGAGGCAGGTGGAGGGGAGGGGGGACATGTCGGGGGGGCTATGGGGCAGGAGGTGGGAGGGACGCGGTGTCCCCTGCACTGTTCGGGGTGGAGGTAGCCCTGGCGTTTCAGCAGGGCTAGGAGGGGGCGTGGTTGCTTCCTGCCATGTGTGTTTGGAGGCTGGTCGTGGGGTGCCGATCTCCTTGTTCCCTTGCAGTTTGGGGGAGCGGTGGGGTGGGGTGATTTTTTCCTAGGGTCTCTGGGGAGGCTGTGGCACAGTCTGGCGGGGGCAGTCCCCTCAGAGCCGAGGGAGGCATTGGCAGGTTACTCTGTGCAAGGGCTGGGGGGTTGTCGTAGCTGTGTGCTGAGCTGGCTGCCTGGCAAGGCCCCAGGGCCGGCTGTCCTGTGTGTTTCCATCTCTGCAGGTCCCTGGGTCTCTGCTCGGCCCTGCCCGGGGCTCCCTCGCCCTGGCACAGGCTGGGCGCCCTGCGGCTTGTCCCGTGGGCATGGCTGGTTGCTGTGCCCTTGGGGGGTGGAGCTGCTGCCCGGCTTGGGGCAGCCTGCCAAGAGCCCATCACGCACCATTGGGATGCGGGGTCTCTCCTTTGGCTCAGCTGCTGCGTCCCTGGTGCCTTGGACTGACTCTGACACAATTGGTGGAGCCTTTGGGGGGTCCCTGGGCTTCCCCTAAAGACTCTGGTCAACGTGATGGGTGCAGAGAGCCGCCCAAAAGGGGAAAAGGGAAACCGGTTGAGCAGCATCTGCCAGCAGCCTGAAATGGGTGAGCTCGGTGGACTGTTAACCCTGAACCCTAATGACGGGCAGCTTTAAATGGTAGCATCGTGAACTATTTCGCTGCCGTTTTCTTGAGCAGAGGCGTTCAGCAAATGTGCTTCTCCCCACAATCCCTCCTCTGTCTCTTTCTTGAGGCAGTTCTACAGTCGATCAAAATACCCAGGGGCAGAATCAGTGGAGTTCAATGTAACGTTAAAATACATCCTGCAGGTGGAAATCAGTACAAACTTTCCCGTCTATCCCCCCTCTCTCTGAGGTCCCCCAATCACTGTGATAGTTGGGCGCGTCACAATCTTCCATGGATTTATCCTCATGTGGCCTTGTGGGGCAGGGCCGGGCCGTTATACCCATTGTACAGATGGGGCAGTGAGGCACGGAGGTGGCTGGTCACACAGGGGCAGTGACAGCGCAGGGAAGAGAAGATGCAGCTCCCAAGTGCTCTAACCATTGGGCCATCCTGCCTCTTGAATCGACAGTAATGGCACGATTTCCAAGGCCCTGCAGAGCTCAGGGGGATTAGGTCTGAGCTCTGCCCTGTCGCGTGCATTCCGCGCGGGCGCCAGGATAAAAGTGAAGCTGCTGTCCCGTGACATGCTAGCTTGTAAAGACACCCTCTAACTTCCTTAAAAAGAAACCGACGCTTCTCCTTGAGTTTAAGACCAGGAAGAGACCATTAGATCTTCTGGTCTGACCTCCCGTACAGCGAGGTTTGGCAGACCTCGATTGTTGGTTTTTTGTAATTGTGATGGATCATATTGTTTGTTTCTTTTATGCATTTTTTTCAATTTTTATCCATTTAAATGTTTACACATTTCCAAAATGACGGGGTTTAAGCATTTCTCACCCATTTCTATTGTTTAAAATTTTCATACGTGTAGAAAAATGATTGGGGGAGGGCCGGACAATTATGCAATGACCTTAGACGCTGACATTCAAAGTTAGTTTTATCACTGTGAAAACCCAGTTGTCCACATATGTCAAATGGTACAAAGTAAATAGCCTTAAATCAAACTCCAATGAGTTCTGAAGCAACATTTCTTTCTTTGCCTCTGTAATTTTTGATGATCGATGGAAATATTTTTCATTGGTTGGTGGATGCGTGGTGAAAGTGACGTTTACTGACATTTGCCAATTACAATGTGATCCTGCCGAGCTGCTAAATTCCATCCTCTCACTGCTGCACTGAGCCCAATAACTTGAGTTTGGCTAAAGCATCTCCCAGGAAAGGGATCTGGTCTGCATTTGAAGCCATCGGGAGATAGAGAATCCATCGCTTCCCTTGGTAGTTGGTTCCAGTGGTTAATGACCCTCACACTGTTAAAGTTTTGTGCCTTATTTCTAATTGGAATTTGTCTGGCCTCAGCTTACAAACCTCCTTGTTCTGCTTTTCCCTGCTAGATTAGAACCTTTTAGGGTGTGCGCTGGAATCTAGTCTTTTCACAGAGTGATGGTTGTGGGGAGGGGTCCATGGGAACAGCCTCCAGCCTTCCCTGAGCTGGGCCTTGTTTCTGAATCTGCACCACAATGGGTCACACCCAGCACTCCCTCTGCCTCAGCAGCTGTTTGGAGCCTGATTCTGGGCTAGGAGAACCTTCCCCCTTCAAAGTGACCTGCAAAGGGGTTTAAAAACCAGAAATGGGGCTTGTCCCCTCACATGCATTTACAGTGAATTTTTGAGACTTTCTCCATGTTTTTTCCACCTTAAAAAGGTTGGGAATGTCAGATCTGGTCCTTCCTTGTGTAGCTGGAGGGTCTATGGGAAGATCTTGGGATGTTCCTTCTGTGGGGGTGCTGAAGTTTTAACAGTGCTGTCGTTTCTCCAAAATGGTCATCAGTCATTGGAGTTAAATGGATTTTGAATATTTGACATAACTATGGGTTGTTTGCCATGTTGTGGTAGCTGTGTTGGTCCGGGGTATCAGAGAGACAAGGCAGGTGAGGTAATATCTTTTATTGCAGTGGCTCTCAACCTTCCAGACTATTGTACCCCTTTCAGCAGTCTGATTTGTCTTAAGTACCCCAAGTTTCACATCACTTAAAAACGACTTGCTTACAAAATCAGACCTAAAAATGTAAGTATCACAGCCAATACACCTCGACCCCAATATAACGCTGTCTTCGGGAGCCAAAAAATCTTACCGCGTTATAGGTGAACCGCGTTTTATTGAACTTGCTTTGATCCGCCAGAGTGCCCCCCCCCCCCCCCCCCCCCCCCCCCCGGAGTGCTGCTTTACCGCTTTATATCCGAATTTGTGTTATATCGGGTCACGTTATATTGGGGTAGAGGTGTAGTACTGACAAATTGCTTCGTTTCCATTTTTACCACATAGTAAAATAAATCAATTGGAATATAAATATTGTACTTACATTTCAGTGTATAGTATATAGAGAAGTATAAACAAGTCATTGTATGAAATTTTAGTTTGTACTGACTTTGCTAGTGCTTTTTATGTAGCGTGTTGTAAAACTAGGCAAATATCTCGATGAGTTGATGTACCCTCAGAAGACCTCTGTGTACCTCCAGGGGTGCACGTACCCCTTGTTGAGAACCATTGTTTTTTTGCACCCACTTCTGTCGGTGAGAGAGACAAACTTGGGAGCGTACACCGAGCTCTTCTTCGGGTCTGGGAAAGGTTCTCAGGTGTAACAGCTCAATATAAGGTGGAACAGATTGTTTAGCATAAGGAATTAAAACACATTTAAGGAATTAACAAGGGACCCATTCATAGTGAAGTAGACTATATTAGTTATAGGACAAAAAAGGGGGGTTAGTGGGTAACAGATTGTTATAATGAGCCATAAATCCAGTGTCTTTGAGTCCATGATTTTTCGTGTCTAGCAGAGTTATGAATTTAAGCTCCCAGGCTCATCTTTTGAAGGTGTTGTAGAGGTTTCCTTAGAAGACGAGAACTGAGAGGCCAGATACAGAGTCAAGTATCAGGGGGTAGCCATGTTAGTCTGTATCCACAAAAACAACAAGGACTCGGGTGGCACCTTAAAGACTAACAGATTTATTTGGGCATAAGCTTTCGTGGGTTTCAGTTGGATCTGAAGAAGTGAGATTTTTTTACCCATGAAAGCTTGTGCCCAAATAAATCTGTTAGTCTTTAAGGTGCCACCGGACTCCTTGTTATTTTTGCAGATACAGAGTGATCGCTATGTGAAAAGTGTTTGCCCAGAGGTGATAAGGGTGAGATCGTAGTGATTGTCCTGTTTTGCCCATGTAGTTGTTGTTGGGGCATATAGTGCACTGGATGAGGTACATCACATGTAATAAGCGTGTGTACAACCCATGGATCTTGACAGGCGTGTGGGGTATTTATCCTCCTAGCAGTGAAGATATAGCTGCAGGTTTTGCATCAGTTGTTCTGAGAGGGTCTGGTGCTGCTTTGAGTTGGTGGGGAGCCTGCTTCTGATGAATGTGGGGATGTGGGGGGCTGTTTGAAGCCCAGGGGAGGGGGTTCGGGAAAGATTACTTTCTGGATATGATCCCCATCCAGCATGGGTTGTAATTGTTACCTGATATCCCGTATGGGCCCTGGAGTGGTAGGTGACAACCAGGGGTGTACCGTAGGAGTGTCTTTATTATACACTGAAAGTCAATAAAGATGCTGGATTTATGGCTTATTACAGCAACGTATGACGTGCTAACCCTCCTTTGTCCTATGCCTGCAGAGATGTGTTAAGTGCCCACTTCACCTTGAACGGTCTCTTACAACATAATTAGAGGTAATGCTGCAGGGATTTCAAACAAGCTGACTGTGGCCTGGGCTACATGCAGAGATTGTACCACTGTAACTCCGTTGGTTAGAGGAGTGACATGTTACCCACGCACTTACAGTGGTATGACCTTAGCCTGGCTGCAGTCATACCGGTATAAAGGTGCCTTATACCACTATAATGGCATCTGCTTATGTGATGTACTGCGTTAACTATAGCGGGGTAGTTGGTGATACAACTTTCTGTTGCTACACTAGCTCTGATCTAGAACTTGACAAAGGAGGTCAGTATCCACCCCCATTTTACAGGTGGGGAAACTGAGGCACTGACAGGGACGGTGGCGAACCAGGAATAGAACCTAGGGGTCCTGTTCAGTGCTCTGGAGGTGGGGGACGCAGCAATGGGCCCTCGGAAGTGGGACTAAGGATTGTTTTGCAGCTGGACTCGGGGAAGGACGGTAGGGGTGGCGCGTGGCAGGGGGATGCAGCCCTGACTTGGGTGGGGGTGATCAGGGACATGGCCAGCCTCTAACTCTGTCTACTCCCCGCCCGCAGGAGCCAAACCCCGAAGACCCCCTGAACAAAGAGGCTGCCGAGGTCCTTCAGAACAACAGACGCCTGTTTGAGCAGAACGTGCAGCGCTCCATGCGGGGCGGCTACATCGGCTCCACCTACTTCGAGCGTTGCCTCAAATAGAACTGACCAGCCGCCCCCACCCCTCCCACGAGGGACTCTGCCAACACCGCTGCCTTCAGCCACCGGGGGGCATGGGAGCCTGGCACTGGCAGGGCCCCCCTCGCTGCTCATGGCCTCTGCCCCTGGCAGCCTTCCCCCCACTCCTGCCCCCTGGCTGGAGGGGAGGTGGCTGCTGAGGGATGGGGCAGGGCTTACATTTGTATCCCCTGCCCCACCCATACAGCCCCCTCTTCCCTATTGGTCGCTCTCCTGCTGGTTTCCCAGTATGCTCAGGCCCTGAGCAGAGCGCCCTCTAGCCGTGGCCCAGCGTGAGCGCACTGGCTCCTCCCCCTGGCTTCGCAGAGCGCATCTATTTATTAGGCGGGGGGCTGCAGCAGGGGTGTAGGGCAGGCCGGGGGTGCATGCAGTCCTGCCGTGGGGGGGCTGGGCCCGCCCTCCCCTTTTACATCCCTCTTGTGTCTGGTTTTTAAAAACAAAGCGCCCCACTTACAGCAAAGCGAAGGCTGATTATTCAATGGGACCGGGCTGGAGGCGGGGCCTGGGTTGATTGAACCCCGCCCCCTTCTGCCCCAGGCCTCACCCTCCAATGAACTGGTTCTTTGCCATGCTGGGGCCTCCTGCCAGCCCCGGGGCCATGAAGCCACTGTACTCTAGCGTGTCGGGTTATTAAAGGGGAATGTTAGCGCACCTCACTGCCCAGGGCCTGTCTGTACCTTATTGCTCCGCCGCCCCCTCCTCCTTTTCAGATGGGGTGGAGGGGTCTCTCCTCAAGGGGCTGCCCACTCAGCTGCCCCAACGGGGCACAGGAATCCACATCTCCCCCCAGCCTCCCCTCCCTGCTTAGCCCCAGCAGCAAGATGGGACCCAGGCCTCTGGCCTGTGGTGCTGTTTGAAGTGGCTTGTGGGTAAGAAGTGGGGGTTGACCCTCCTGCTCCCCAGCACAACGGGCAGCTCCTCCCTCTGCCCACTTCTGCGGCTGGCTTAGAAACCTCCAAGCCTTGTTAGCCGGTGCTCACTGCCCCGGGGCTGCCCAAGCAGGCCTGAGAGAAGGGCAGATGTGCAATGGTGGGGGGGTAAAGCCATAATATGGGCTGATGAGACCCAACTGTTGCCCCCTCCTGGCTAGGAAGGGAAGGGCTGATCTCTGGTGCCAGGGTGAGAATCCAGTGGCCAAGAGGGGCCCAGCTGCCTGGAAGTGGGGGATGGGCATCCAACCTCTGGCTGAGTCAGCAGTTGCCTCTTCCCCTGCTGCAGAGCTGCCTGGGGCTCAGCGTGGAGGGAGAATTCCCCATCAGAAGGCAACTGTAGGGCGGGGGGTGGCCTGTTCCTACAGCCGTCCCCCGCCTGGCCTGCGGCAGCCAGTTCTAGCTGCATGTAACCTGCAGCCTGGGCGCCGCAGCAGCTTCTGTGGGGTCCTCTGCCCCTATGTGCACCCTCGGAGGGGAGAGGGTGGAGCCAGCTGCACTAAGGGAGTGGTGGTTGGGGGATGTTTGCAATCGAAGCTCCTTCTCCTGCCCTCTGCAGGGTCTGGGCCCTGCTGCCTACCTGCCTTCCAGGCGCCCTGTCCGGCTGCCTTTGCTCCTCTCTGGCTGGGCGTGGACTGAGCTCTGACGCGGCCCCTTGCCGAACCAGGACCACGTCGTGGCCTTGGTGGGGGAGGCGATCCCTGTGGGATGGAGGCTGCCAAGAAGCTGGGATCGGGCCTCGTCGCCAGGCCTGAGACAGTGTGAAATGTTATCTCCCCATGTCCCACAGGGGCTGAGCCATGGTGGCGGGGGGCTCGGTTCCGCATGGCGCAGGGCAGGCAGATGAGATGGAGGGGTGGGGGCTGAGGGCAGTTTCCTGCCCAGGAGCAGGGAAGTGTCGCTTTGCTCTCCTGTTATCCCCTGTACTGGGCTGTTTGTGCTGGAGCCCAGCTCACAGATGAGGTGATTTTCCCCCCCACCTCCCTGCCCTGACTGGGCAGCCCCTTGTCCCCTTTTCCTCACTGGGCTGGGGCTCCAGGGGTGCTAAGGTTGGAAGGGATGGTTGTGATCATCTAGTCTCATCGCTGGCCACCCCAGGCTCTCATGCCGCCACTCCCCTGGGTGGTCTCAGGGGAGATGGGGGTCAGCCCTTGCATCGCTACGGCTGGTGTACTGCTTGTATGTCCAGCCCTGATGCAAGGAAGGCCCAGTCCCTGCCCAGAGGGGCTTCCAGCCCTATGGATCCAGAGCCCCGGTGACCGCTGCTGTCACTGGGCCCTGGGATGGGGCTGTGTAGCAGCCGGGGGCCAGGTTGCGTGAGCGGGAGTATGACCGCCCCAGAGGGATGCCAGGACTTGGTAGGGAGCCCTATGCTTCAGAGGGCTGTGGGGGGAAGGGCCCTGTCAGGGGATGACCCGTGTGTGTATGGCCCAGGGACCACTTGGGAGAGGAAATGGGGTTTATAAGCCTCCCTCTAGGCAGGTGCAATGATCATGAGGTGAGAGGAACCTGGCAGGGGGGTGTCTGAATTTTGATCCAGTGGTGTCCCTGCACTAACAGCGTTTGGTTCCTGCAGCCCACCCCTACCCATAGCCTCACCCCAACTTGTCCCCTTCCCCGCACTACCAACCCCTCCCCCCCCCCACTTCCCACACAGTCTCCTCAATTGGGCTCCTCCTTCCCACCCCTGCTCCAGCTTGTCCCCTTCCCCAGCCCCCTGCTTTAACTTCTCAACTGGGCTCCTGCTTCCCACCCCTACCCATAGTCCTGCCTCAACTTGTCCCCTTCCCCCCACTCAGCGCTCCCCCAACCAGCCTCCTGCTTCCCACACCCTCCTCAACTGAGCTCCTGCTTCTCCCTGTCCCCAACCCCCCTGCATCATAGCCCCACGCAGTCCTGTCCCCTCGACCCATTTCAACCCCCGCTCAACCTGCCTCCCAGACTGACTGTAGCCCAATCCAACCACCCGTCTTCTCCAATGCAGCCCCTGCCCCCACCTCCCCCTCCACCCCCCCATCTTGCCACCAGCCCTTCTGCTCTACCCAGCCCCTCCCTCTGCCCCACCCTAGGATTGCAAGGTGTCCAGTTTTCAATGGGAACTCCTAGTCAAAAAGGGATCCTGGTGACTCCGGTCAGCACTGCTGACTGGGCAGTTAAAAGTCCAGCTGGCGGCACAGCAGGGCTCCTGGGAAGTGGCCGGCATGTACCTCTGGCTCCTAGACGTAGGGGCGGCCACAGAGGCACCATGCGCTGCTCCTGCCTGCAGGTTCTTCCCTGAGCGCTGGCTCTGCAGCTCCCTTGGAGCCCTCACTCCCTCCTGCACTCCAACCCCCTGCCCCAGCCAGGAGCCACCTCCTGCACCCTGAACCCCTCATTTCTGGCCCCACCCTGGATCCAGCACCCCAGCTAGGGTGACCAGACAGCAAGGGTGAAAAATGGGGATGGGGGTGGGGGGTAAGAGGTGCCTACATAAGACAAAGCCCCGAAGAGCGAGACTGTCCCTACAAAAGCGGGACATCGGGTCACCCTACTCAGCCCAGAGCCCTCACCCCCCCCCCATCCCAATCCCCGGTCCCCTGAAAGTGAGGGAGGGAGGGAGGGGGACGGAGCGAGTGGGGGCGGGGCCTCGGGAAAGGGGCGGGGCAGGGGGCGGGGCAGAGTGTTCGGTTTTCTGCCATTAGAAAGTTGGCGACCTACACTCCCCCCAGCCCCCCCCCGTCATCCCCCTCTTCTGCCCTACCGCCATCTCCCCCTCTTCTGCCCCCACCCCCTCAGCCCCTCCCCCGTGTCTCTCCTGTGGGGGCGGGGCGCTAGAGAGACTGGGGGGAGGGGAGGCGCTCGGGGGTGCCCCTCTAGCCCTCCTCTCTGTGGTCTGCCGGGGGGGGGGGGGAGGGGGATCGCTCTGCCTTTCCTCTCCGCGGGGGGCTCCCGGCCGCGCTCTCTCTCTCTCTCTCTGGTACCCGCGCGGGCGGGGCTCCGCCCACCACTATCGTCACCTGACGCCCCGCCCTTCACGTGCTCTGTGACGTCAGCGGGGCGAAGGCGGAAGTGAGAGAAGGAAACAGACAGAGAGCGGCGGCGGGTGAGACCCGGGGGGGCTCTTGGGGGAGGGTCCCGGGGGGTGTCTCCGTCTCCTTCATTTCCGTGGGGCGGGCGGGGTCTCTGTAGCGCCGGGGGGCAGTGCTGCCCCCTCCCGACATGGGGGGAGTCCGGCCCGGGGCCGCAGAGCGGGAGGGGGCTGAGCCCCCTGCAACGGCGGGCGGGGGGTTGGGTCAGAGGGGTTGGGGGGTGTAGAGAGGAGGGGTGGGGCAGGGGGGCTGGGTGTAGGGGGTGGGGCATAGTGGGGTGGGTTAGGGGGCAGGGGGGTTGGTGGTAGGGGGAGGCTGGGGCATAGTGGGGAGGGATAGGGGGCTGGGTGCGGGGAGGAGGGGTGGGGAGGGTTAGGGGTAAGGGGGCTGGATGTAGGG